TAATTCTCCATATAAGGGTGGAAATTAGTAATGGTTCGCAAGGAGTCGGACTCTTTGAGTCCTTGACGTGAAAACGGGTATAAAAGCTGTGTTTGAGACCTGTTGTCTTGTGCGTTATTTTTATCGTTTCGTGTCTCCCGTTACTATGAAAGTTCTTCACCAGCTCGCCTGTGTTTTTAAAGTGTTATAACGGAATGAACGGTTTTGTAGACCGCAAAACGATTTAATGAAAACTTTGTGAAATAATTTGATACAAGAGGGCTATATTCGCGTTCGTTTTCAGGCTTCTTTCAAACGTATTTTATTTTGATGCACACGCCTGGGCTTGTTCCTGTTACATCGTGTCTCTAGGGGTCCTTCTTTCTCGTTTCCACGCTGGGGTCCAGCATCGGGGGTCGAAGTCGAGTCGAGCCCCCATCCGGTCGAGTCGGGGAGGCTCTCCTTACGGGTCTTTGCTGCCAGCGTATTTGCTTACACTCCCGAGCTCACAATCCTTGCGTTCTCGCACATTTTGTTAATGTTGTCATGATCCTCTGTTATGCGTCTAGCCATCGTGGAGGGCGTTGTCGGCGTTATGCGCCTGTAACCGGAGGATCTGCCACGGTGCAAGGCGAGTTGGTTGAAATCGACGCCAATTGCTCCAGGTTGTTCGTAAAAAAAAAAAAAAAAAAAAAAAGAGTTATTGTGCGGCAGCTTGGCGGCAATCCGGTGTGCCTTGCGGGGTAAACCCAGAAATGGTGTAGGTTTGATTGTTCACGTTGGTGATGAAAAGCAGGCCAAGTTTCGAGGTAGGAAGGCCGTTCGTGTACCATATATACCCTGTCCCTGACGCTATATGGAGCTGGTCGATGTTTTGCATCGTAGGAACGCTTCATGCCGTGAAGGTAAGAGAGGTTCGCGTTTGCAGCGTCGCAGTTCGCGCGGACGTCGCCGACCTCGTCGGGAAGCGGGGAATATTCCATTGGTCGACGTGCGACAAAGTTGAACAGGAGTTCGAACGGTGATGTCTGGAGTCCAGCGTACGGCTGCTGGTTCACTTCAAAGCTGGCTGCCTGAAGATAATCGCTTCAATGGGCGATGTCGCTGTTGACGCTTTTTCGCACAGACATGGAAGGATTTTTCCGTTGGCGCGTTCGACAAAGCCGTTAGCTTCGGGAGCGTAAAGTACTGTTAGGGATGTTCTGAATGCGCCTGTCGGCGAAGTACCGCGAAGCCGAACGAGAGGTTAGGACCCTGTCGTTGTCGGTGATGACGGCTTGCGGCGTACCGAATGAGAGTACGAGTTCTATAAATCGAAGGACGTGCTCGGTCGACTTGTTAGGCACGGGGCGTGCGACAAGCGCGTGGTGAGGTGGAACGCGGTGATAAAATACCTGTCGTCGTCGGTCCTCGTCTTGCGGAGGACAAACGAGAATAAACAAGACGCCGAAGTACCTGATTCTTCTAACGGACGCACTCTTCACAGCGAAGGAAATGTATACCTCTCCAGAAAAAAAAAAAATATAAAATAAAAAAATGTAAGCAGTGAGAGAGTGGAGGCGAGCTGGTAATCAATCGACATCTTGTAAACCCTGAAATGGGGAACGATAAAAAAAAAAACGGACGAACACAACAAATCTCAAAAAGATGTTGTTGTGTTCGTCCGTTTTTTTTATCGTTCCCCATCTCAGGGTTTACAAGATGTCGAAAAAAATGTGTTCCTTTTTACGGTATTTGCATGTTGTTTTCCAAATGGCCGAGGCTACATCCACGCGCGGGGACGTAGCCAAGTCGGGAGGAGATAAGGCTCCGTCCACGCACTACGTCACTTATAAGTGATTTTCTGAAATTTTCAGAAAATCACTTATAACTTTTGATTAATTTATCGGATCGGGCTGGAACTTTGGCAACTGGTTGTGACCTCTAGCGCTACCTTTGGGCGGAGAATGAGTGTTCGGCGATGCCTAGTTTATTTTTGCGGTAAAAAAGACCATGTAAATTTTCTTTTGTGACACCCTGTAGAATAAACGAATGTTCTTTTAGGTTGAGACCTGTCGCGCAGAACATTGAATTAAAACCATTATTACAATAAGTATAACCGTGTATTAATAAAACAAAATTGAATTAAATAATACGAACACATTATATTAATGTTTTAAAAACTAGTGATTCTTTTATATTAATTTAGCTCACATTTGCTGCTGGATTTTCTCCGCGCCAATTTTAAATTTTAAATCGTAGCTGTTTTGTGATCTGCGACTCTACACTTGCTTTCGGCGCGAGGAAGTGAGTTTGATGGTGCGGTCATGTACTTAAATAAAAGAAAGAAGTACCTGGAGCCAGAGAATATATCCAGTTTGCCTAGGACGACAGGCTTTGAACCCTAGTTCGGGGAGGTCGTCCACGATAGAGCCATGCGTGCGTCCACTTCTTTTTGAGTACCAATTAAAAAAACAATTAACCGGTTAAAGATCGCGATTGAAGCCTTAATCGATTAATCGGAAGGTTAATCCATAAATTGCCCAGCCCTAATTTTAAGTGTCGGTATAAGAATGTTGAGTGTCGGTTGTCTATAAGAATGTTTTCAGTCCTTAGGATGGCTCGAAAGTCATTCGGGAAAATCGGCGCCAGCATGTCAATCCAAAATTTTCATCATGTATAGGTGAATTTATTTTATTGGTGCATTTTACCTTACGAATTTTTAAGGTGTAGAAAATAAACCGGGCCCCTTTGCGTAATTATCCTCCGTGGATAACGGCGGGGGTGTAGGTCTAATTTTTTTACAGGAATTGAGCGCCTTAAAATTTCGCAAGGGAAAGTGCTCCATAAAAATACGCCTTTGGTAAAGGTTTGAGATTACTATGTGGAGGCACCGAGTTTTCCAGATAATTTTAGAGCGAGCACGAGGATAGAAAGCACGCTAGGCGAGGGTTGGATGGAAGTATCGTGCTCGCATCTGAATGAGCCACCGCGTGCGTAATTGCGCATCTGTGTAATTAAGACATGCGGGTGTTCGTGTACGGTGAAAAGCTGTTTTCGTGTTTCTCAACTTGGTTAAAAGTTATTAAAATTTCAGGTTTTCCAATCTTTTGCAACTGTCTCAATTCCATTGTCAAAGTCCTGACCCATAAAAAAATTAATTACAATAATAATAATTTCAGTGAGCTCCGATTTGAATATTCTCATTTTCATTTCGTCACTCAACGGATGCTGTGATATATAATTATATTGTTGCTGTTGGTCAAGACGTCATACTACTTTTCGGTCTTGCTCGAGAAGTTTTACGGGCGACGGGAGTGATCAAAAGCGTCATTGCAGTCGGCATTTCACGAATGGCCAAACGTCAGCTATGATGTCTTTAGTTGAATCACTTTTTCTTTCATTGGCGCGCAAGAGGGATGTCAGGCTGTTGACTGACGGTGTCGGTTTAAGAATGAAGCGATTCCACGATTCCACTGTGCTTTTTACAACCAGCATTAACCTTGTCGTTCGCAACTGATAAGTATCAGGACTATATCTACCCAAGACGTCACGGTGGGGCAAATCCTGGCCGTGACGTAACGTAGAAGACCCGAGAGCACCACCGAAACATCTCCAATAGACGCTTTGCAGCAGCTGTGCATGGGCGCCGCCATAACCGACCTTCAGTTTTTGTTTCCTCTTATTACATTTACTTCATTTCATCATAACCACAGCAGGGCAGGTTATTGCTATTTTAGGTTGTACTGCGTCCTTCTCCCCAGCATTGGCTTCTGTGGAGGCTTGTCAACGCTCGCTCCAGTGGCTCGGCATATGGAAAAGACAAGAGAAGGTCAGCAATGCCGGCTGTAATTTTGCGCGTGTGTAAAGCGTCTATAAAGCCCCTTGATAAAATTCGCGCTGTGCGTTTCTTCCAAGTACCAACACAACGAAGGTAGTGCGAATGCGCGAAACGCGTGCCACGAGCGCGCACTCCGCCGCCGTTCGCTCAGGCTGCTGTTTCAGGGCTGCGCGGTCATTTCCTTCCAAAGGTCGTGATACGGACCTCGCGCAGTCACGCATTTGGCGCTACTTGTAGGACAAACATATCAAATGGCTTTAATCTCAACGCCAATGACGACGCAAACTGACGAGACGGGGAGTGAAGTGGCAAAGAGTAAAAAGGAACACGCTCACTCAAGAGAATTTTTTAGATTTACTGTAGATTTACATTTACAACAGGATAATTCTTACTACAATTAATTATTCTAAAAATTGCCTGTCTGTAGAAAAGTTTACTGTACAGAAGTTCCTAATGGACCAACAGAGCTTTCAGTTTGACTGATAGAATTTTCTAACGGTTCAAGAGAAGTCTCTATAGGACCGATAACCATATCTATTGGACCACTAGAAATCTCAATACGACCAATAAACGTTTATATTGTGTAAATAGAAATATCTACTTGTCCAAGAAAATGCTCTATCGATCCATTATAAATTTCTATCGGTCCAATATTAATATTTATCGGTCTATTATAAATATCTATTGGTCACATAGAAATTTGTAATGGTCATATAAAAATCTGTTGGAATTTTTGCTAAGGTGCGAAGGCACAGTGACGCAGCACTTCAGCGTGCAAGCTTTGATCACGCCGCGAGTGCGGCAAAACTTCCTTTCTAGTTGTGCGCTCTCCTTATGGCGCTGCGGTTTCGCAAAAAATTCAACCAAAAGGCAAGTATCACAGCTTACAGAGGGGTTTCAAAAATTCTTCGGCGAATGACGAGGAACGAATAGAAAACGTGTCTTCAGCCAACACCACCAACACCACTGCCGCCAGCCTCTGCAACGCTCGCAAAAAACGCGATTTCGGCAAGATGGCCGTCCGGTGGCCGCGTTTACTGTGGTGCCCGCACTCGCGGAGCGGGCAAGTCGTTAAAAATACATGAAAGCTTTTGTCAAAATACCTATCTCATTAATTTATAATCTAAAACTATTCAGTCTAGAAAATTAAGTTTCAAGGCAATATTGTTTTTCTTGACATCTGGCCATCTGGCTCTCAACGCCAAGAGTAGCGGCGGATCGATGTCTCGGCTGGCAACAAAGTTCTTGCCGATGCGGGCGTTGTTGCTTGTTGGAGCAGTTGCCCGTTTCCCTGCTCGGCGAAGCTGGCGCTTCCCGGATATCTGTTCCAAGTGTAAAGTTTCGTGACCAGCGATCCTTCGGAACATCGTTCACGATGAGGAATAGCCCCACGTAACATTGTCTCGTGATCCATTTCCGTCGCCAAGTCTCTTTAGCCCCCCCGGGACGAGACGTCGCTTTTGCGCGATTTGCACACGGTTTAGTTCATCGCCTTGACGTCCAGGAAACAAGGTGAGCAGTTGCCAAATCTAATTGTCGGGACGGACCTTACGACTCAACTGTGTCTCGTGTTTCATTTCCACCTTACCCACGGTCTGCGCTTTTCTCTTTAGAATCCAAAACGTACTGTGACACGAGCGAGTTGACTCGCTTCAAAGCTGCTTTATTGGTCTCTGTCGAGTGACAGCGCACTTTACCAGTCGCAAACCTTCACAGCTGCCTATTCGGGCCCCTTGTCTTTTCGAGTATGGCGGAGCGTTCGTGGCGATCGTCGGTTGACGGGCCCCTGGAAAAACGGCGAAAAAAATCGGGGCCGTTTCTGACTGGCTGCGTTGTCCAAACTCAGCGTTCCTTGCAGGGCATTGCACAATGGGAGCTCCGGCGTTCATGAAAGAGTTTCGGGACCTGATCAACATGCCCGCCGACGGAGGATTTTTCGGAAGTAGCCTGACACGACAGGGAAACTGCGAGAGCTGCCTCACAAAGTTTGGCCTCCTGAAGAGAAGGGTAAGTGGCTTTTGGCCCTGTGTGGAGCGGACAGGGATAGCGGGGCGATTGACGGGGCAGCCTTGCTGCCGCGACTGTTCCGCTTCGTCGGCGTCGGGTGGTTTATTTTTGGCGAATACTGCAGAGATACCGGCGTACCTTGAGGAAGGCTACACGCGTCATAAGAGCGAAAGAAATAGGGGGAGGGGGGAGGGAGGGAGGAGAGAGAGAGAGGGAGATACTGGACTTGCCTCAGACACGCAGTGTGGCTGATAACGGGATGCCTTGGATGCTCAGATTTTTTATTTGATTCTTCTCACATGATTGATACCAGCATTCCAAGTACAAATGTGCTGCAGTTTGCACAGATGCCCAGTTTTGTCGATCTTGTCGGCATTCCTGCGGTTGGATCTTTCCAAGCATTGTAGGCTTGGAGCTGCGGCTGTTTAGTGCGTGGTGTGCGGCGCTCTTGAAGCCACTGGTTCGACTGCAAGGCTTTGTTCAGTGTCCTGTGAGAATGTGCGCGGGGGGATACATACGTTTGCCACCCGAGAGATGGAAAGGGACACTGGCAACTAGAAAGCAGTGGCAAAGCCAGAAATGTTTTTCAGGGGATGTTTTCTTTAGGTGGTGCAGTTCGATGTAAACAGAAATAAAGGAAGTGTGTACGAGCAAGATCCTACAGAAACAGTTTCACCTCTTGTTCTCACTCCCTACACAACCCCATACTTTCAATGGCTAAGCAAACACATTAGCGAATGAATGTCCAAAAAGCACACATACATAAATAAGAGGCATATGTAAAGGTTTTGCTCTTGTCAACAAGTGTGAGCGACCGGATAGCTTTGGGCGATGTAGCTTTTGTAGCTGAGGCGCCTGGTGACGAAGGAGGTTCTGATTATAGCCTTCACTTCATTTGGAAAGTGATCATACATCAAATGTGCCTGTACCCTCCATGAAATGAAGGCCAACAGAAAACCAATTTACAGAGTAGCGTGTTATTCGCCGAGACGCGACAGTGAGTAAAATGGCGGTCCACACCATGCCGCAGATTGGATCCGCAATAATGCGGGAGGTGGAACCTGCTTTTTCTGGGGCACCTGGTAACTGCTTTCCACTCTGCACATGACATGCGGTCCTTGTGATTTCTCCTGTTCGTATCTTGGCATGTGTCAGTCGTAAAAATAGGAGAGGCAGAGCTCGCATACTTTTCGCTCTCTCTTGCAACTCTGTTCACTCATAAGCTGACTGTATGGTGCAAGCTACATGCTCACTTTGACCAGTTGTATGTTTATCTTTTGCCATGTAATCACTCTCCCGCCCCGTACACCCACGCGCAGACCCTCAAATGACGGGCACCGCACCGTCATCTTAGGGGCCTCCATGGAGAGGTCACCTTCACCTTCGGCTTTCGAGGTCACTCACGAGCATGCATGCGTACGTATCTGGGCACCTGCTTCAGCAAGTTCCAGCGAGCTTTTGGAGGGGACCCTGGCACTAATCCGGGCGAGCTTAGCAACAGCTCAAGGTTCAAGTGCTTCTCCCCGTCTCCAGGAACCACAACATTTTTTGGTGTCAATCTCTGACCATGGAAGAATTTCGTTTCTTTTTCAGACTTGAGAGGATAATGGCCGGGATAATCTTTATGCACTTGGATGCCTCCTTGTGTGCTTATTCCTATTCTTGCAAGCAAAATGAACAGAACAACATAGTATCCAATTTTTTTGTCTTGATAATGCAGTGTCCCGGGAGAAACATTGAATGCCGTAAGACAAAACTGACTGATTGGATAGCGAAGGGAGGGGAGGCAAGCAAAAGGTTTGGGAGGTTGTTCTGATGTGGGAACACCCCCATGGCTATGCTCTGCTAGGAAGGTTTCGTGTTTGAGACGGCTAGCGCTCTAAGTAGCTGTTTAATTTCAACCTGTCTGGAGTGCTGTCTCGCATCACTCCTGAGGAGCATTCAAGTGCAGTCTGCTGACACTCCACGCATGCTCTCAATCACCGTCCAAAAGGGTTAGCCGAGTGCAAGTCGTCTGCTTCTTTTGCAGGAGTTGCAGGAATGTCAGAAAGACGTTGAGCTCTGATTTGCTCTGATTGAAGGATAGTGGGTAGACCTCAAAGCAAGCTGCCTTGAGGTCTACCCATTATCCGTCATTCAGAACCAATCGGATCTCGGCGTCCTGACATCACCACAACCCCTGCAAGGGAAGCAGATGAACTTGCACTCTGCATAGACGTTAGGCAAGTGGTGCATTGCAAGTGGCAATTTAGAGGCCAAGATGTTCAACCCCAGTAAGACTGTTAATCCAACACGTGTTTGTAAAGTGGGAGCAAAGAAAACACCACGGGAGCCGTGGAGCAACAGGCACACTCTGTGTACAGTGTATGCACGCAGTCTCTTTACTCTTGCTGATGCGGTACACTTTCAAGGTTATTTAGCAAAACAAATTTTTAAAAAATGTGTGAAAAAAATTAGCAAAGAATGTCCCCAAGAGACATGCACAGTCCCAAACCTGGATAGTTCATTAAGGGAAAAAAATTATATATAACCTAGCATGCTGGGTGTTACCTCATCAGAGCAAGTTAAAAAAAAATAGAGCACACAAAAAAACAGCATCCAAAGGAAAACATGTGCGACAGACAAGTGCTCACTCATAGGGTGTCCGAATATTCGAAATTTCGAATATGAATCGGATATTTTTTTTATTTGAAGTGTATTCGATTCGAAAATTGCATATTAGAAAGTTCCCGAATATTGGGCCATGGCTGAATATTTGGGAAAAACGGTGAATATTCGCACAAACTGCGAATATTCGTGCAAGTAACGAATAATCTGCCTGCCACGCATTCCCCTATGAATATGTTCATTCACTGATAAATGCGTATGATGCGTGCGTTATCGGCCCGATCTGTTTCTATTTGTCCAATGATGGCAAGACAGGATAGTTTCGGTTTCTTTTTCACCAAGCCCTCTCTCGCGTGGTACTTTTATACATGGTATCTAGCGACCAGGAATCCTCAGGGAAATTATAATTACCAGGAAAAATTAGGGAATTGTCAGGTATATTTTCAAAAATTGAGCCCAGTCAGGGTAAATGACCCAGAAACGCCATAGAGTGCCCTGAGCAAAGACTTTTCGTGCTACTCGATGCAAAGAGAACAGCCGACAAATCCAATCCAAGCCTTGGATTGGGTTGGATTGAGGGCATGACACTAGGCTAGATCCAGTTTGAGCTACTAGATTTAGTAACAAATGAAAAATCTGCAGACCCCAATCCAATCGCATCCTTAAGCTGAAAGTATCCGAAAGTGTGCATCTGGCGGCCATGCTGCCAGTCGGTTATTGACGTGTGTGGTTGAGCGTCGTGTTTTCATCGTGTTTTCATCGTGTTTCCGGAAGTGGCCTCTTCACTGACAATGTTGGCGGCAAGAAAAAGCTCATTTAATCCGGACTGGACGAACCCGAATATTTCGGAATATGCAAGTTGGATTAAGCCCGTGCCAAATGATACTCACAGTGCTCAGTGCCTTTTGTTGTAATTGTCTTTTATATTTAACCACCTCTACAGTGGTCAGGGAATTTCACCTGAAATTGTCAGGGAAAACTTGGAAAAGTCAGGCAATTTCAAAATAATAATTTGCTAGACAGCCTGTTTATAGCAATATATGGTATAATACCTGTTCTATAAATTGATACATTAGGATAAACCTATCTCGAGAGTGTTATCTAATATAAATGTTTGAAAACTAAAAACAGAAAAAGCTAGATGCGAGCAGAACATTGCATCGCCATCAACAAAAACTCCGGCCGCTCCCGCGCAGCCAAAATGTAAACCACGCTAGCTACGCCGCTGCGCAACTCTATCGGTGCTGATACCGAAGTGGCTGATACCGTCCTTGCTTGAGCGTGTTCTCCGAGAATGGCATCAACTGTGGATGATGAGTCACCGAGCAAGCAGGAAAAGAAAGCTGGAAAAAATGAGACACAAAGCCATGACATCGTTTTCCCCGCTAAGTTTAGCGGGAAAACTGAATTAATGTTGAGGTTACACGACGTCAATTTCCCCGCTAAATTTTGTTGTAAAATTTCCCCACTAACTTTAGCGGGGAAATGTCCCATAATGCAACTTGCGCGGTTGAGCCGAAGCCGATGCCGCTCAACTACGAAACGGGCGCCTAAGAGCTGCGCTCTAAAAGTCTTCTTTGGCGGAACTACAGAAGGCCCTTGTCGTCGACAGCTTGGCGCAAGTAGTGCAAGCATGTTCTTCAAACGCCGACGGGAACAACCACAACTCTTCAAAATTACATAAAACAGCACCCTTTGTTGATGAAAAAGTACAAAAAAGATGTAGCGTACAGGCCGTCGAATGGATGATACACATCAACAGAGAAAGCAGCCCTTGTCACAGAAGAAAGAAAACACACTTCATCAGTGAGTAGCACAGATGGTCGCCTTAGATCTCCAGTTTTACAGCTTTGTTGAAGACTGGGGGGGTTCAAGGCACTCATGAAAAGAGCCATACCGGGCTACAGTCTGCCATCTCTAAAAACATTGTTGCGCGTGCTCATCCCGTGCCTGTTTGACGACACAAGAGCGAAGGTACGGTCCGAGCTGCGAAAGGCACTTGATGACGAAACAAGCACTCGCACTTCTACGCGTGATATCTGGACCTCGCATACCAACGAGGGCTTTTTAAGCCTTACGTGTCGTTTTCTCACGGTGAAATTCGAGATGAAAAGGTTCACTTTGAACACGCGACATATGCCGGAGAGTCACACGGCAGTGAACATTGCTGCTTCATTGGAGCAACTATGCTCCGACTGGGAGATACCGACTGACTGCGTGGAGTATGTCGCGACGGACAACGGCCGCAATATCCGAGCGGCTGCCAGGAGGCTTCCGTGATTCGAGCGAGCTTTTTTCGCAGACACAGTGCAGCTGGCGATCAGCGATGCGAGGACGTGTATCCCGCTTATCAACAAACTGTGAAACGAGGTGAGATCGATTGTAGGACATTACAAGCATAGCCCTAGTGCACGGAAACCACAGGACGATCTGGAGACGCAGCTGAAGAGAGGCGTGCTCCATGTTATGCAGGATGTTGACACAAGATGGAATAGTCAGTACCTCATGCTCTCAAGGCTCCTCCAACTCAAGGAAACCATCACTTTTGAGCTTGCCACTTCGGACTTTACCAAAGATTGCTTTAACTCTGCTGAGTGGAGAGATGCAGTGGATTTTGTGGAGGCATTGAAGCCCTTGTTTGATGCAACTGTGATCACAAGTGCTGAAAAGTACCCCTCATTGTTATGTCAAATTTCAATTATTTTTGAATGCTGCATTGTTTTGGAGGTTGCAAAGGTAACTCCAGGTTTGCTGTTAATCTGAAAAAATGTATCAAGACTCGCTTTGCGGAGCGTGACTTCGATGAAGTGGCCAGCCATATTCCTTGACTCTCGTTTTAAAGCCACAGTTCATCAGGCATCTGGCCATACGATCTGGCAGAAAGACCTTGTGACAAGGGAGCTCCAGACATTTTGTTGTGGAACCGAGTGGGGACACTGCCGTGCCAACGTCGTCTTTGGGTCTACTGGTGGTATCCAGTGTATGGAACGCTTTTGACCATCTGGTGATGAACAAGGAGAAGACTCAGTTGGCATCTGCTCCAGAGAGAGAAGTCACAGAATACGCCAAAAAGTCTCTTCTCGACAGGGGCAAGGATCCCTGTGAGTGGTGGCAGTGCATTGGCCTCTTCGAGTACCCACATTTACGCAAACTCGCTCAGAAGTACTGGGCCATCCCCGCTACTTCAATCTCAAATGAAAGGGTCTTTTTTACTGGCGAAAGTGTTGTCACAACGCATAGGGAGTGCTTGCTTTCTTACATGTCGAGTAGTTGATTTTCCTACATTATAATTTGTAATAAGTGCCTTACTAGAAGTATGTTTAGTCTGCTGCAGCCCAGTAAAATGCTGTTCTATTGATCTAGTTTATATAAGTAATAAAACCTGCTGTTACCTCTTGTTTTGCAGCTTTTTTGTTTCTAGACATATTCAATATTCAAAGTAATTTTCTTGCCTTATTCGTATTGGATTTGTGTAAGGAAATTTCAATATTCGCACACCCCTAATGACTGAACTTTGATTTTTGCATTTTGTAAGCCGGAAGAGCCGCAACCCAGTCTGCTTGTGCAAAAGTCAGTCTCATCAAGGAGCAGAAAGTCCCTTTGTTGAGCGTACATAAATAAAAAAATAAAAAAAAGAACATTGTAGAGCTCTATTACACATGTTCTGGCTGAAGATAAAGTCTACACTCAGCGTCGGTCAAAACGATAGAAGGATGAAATAATGTTCTTCGTGAGCAAACACTTGTTTGTCATATATTTGTTCTTTTGGTGCCTGTATCTTCTGTATGCTCTGTTTTTGTAAGGAATTAATAAGAATAACCTAGTTTTCAACACTTTTAGAGCGAGGTAGAAATGTGATTATTTGGTTTACTAGTAGTATTCTATGCAAAAAGGCAATATCGAAGATATTTGCATAAAAAGGGGAGAGGAAATAGGGATATTAATTTCTGCTGAAATATGCTTAAAAACATTCTGACTATTGCTAAGGGGTGGCACCTGAAATGCTGGGGAGGGGTGCCTTCAAACGGCTCTCTAAACACCGCACTCTTTTGCATGCATGTGAGGGTATTGGTGGTGTCTGATACACTCTTGTTGGCTGTCATTCTGCCGTCGCAAATATAGTTTATTTACAGTCATGTTTCATTATTGTGATCTTTATTAATGTGCACACCCCTCTACATAAACAAAATTTTAAGGGACAGATATATTCCCATTCAGTTCCGTTTTGTCAACATGGAAGTCCCAGTCCCGACTGCGGACTGCTTGTGTTTTGTGTTGTTGATATGGCACCAAAGTTTTCCGTGTACTCCTTTCTTTATATTGCGCCGGTGGGGCACAGTGCTGGCGGCGCTGCATCCCCCAAAGTGTGTTTCATTCAAACTTTGACGAGAATGCCGAAGAATGAACTACAAAGCAAGAAATGGGGACATAATGAGACATGCCCTGCCTTTCTAAGCATGTCAATTCCTATTGGCGAGGAGATAGAACCATTGGGGGAACTCCGTCCAACTTGTTTTCCCAGAGCTCTGTTCTTACCCAACATAAGGCCTGCAGATTGGATTCTTAAATGGCGGCTTCCTCGATCGAGCGCGGGACACAGATCGGCCACGAGTGCTGCTTGAACTTTCGACTGGGTGCTTTGCTGATAAAACATGAGCCACAACCGAACGCAGACGCAGCAATCGGCTATGTCAGTCAAGCACTGCGTCAGAAACGCACAAAAATAATTTGTGTAGTTGTCCTTGTAGGTTTAGTTCTTATCTTAGCTGGTAGGGGTGCTGCGGAGGGCGGTTTAGTTCTTATCTTAGCTGCTAGGGGTGCTGCGGAGGGCGGTTTCATGAAATGCCTTGTTCCTTTCGGTAAGTCATGTTCTGCCGTGTTGACAAACAGCGTTTGCCACTTTCTCTATCCGTTTACACGCAGACGCTTAGCTAATGGTGTCATTTTCGGTGTTGGTGAAACGCTGAAGCATGTGGGTTGGCTTCGTCGACGACAGAGCTCAGTAAGGGCAATCGGAGATGTATTTGGGCCGCATAAATCCAAGCTTATCCTGATGTGTTTTCTTTTGGAGCCACCCTGGTGGCATTACAGGAGCCTTCACGGCCGCTGACAGGTTGACTTCTCGATCGCTGGCTCGTTTAAGCTGGAATAAAAACCAGTGTGTATAAAAACCAAGTACCAGGCGATGTTCCCCTGTACTTTGCAGTGCTCCAGTGAACGCAGTCCGTCAACACGCAGAAAACTCAACCGAGCTGGAAAATACTGCCTTTGCACGTAGAAAGACGTAGGGTGAACGTTCATCAACAACATGGCGTCCAGCGAGATTTCAAGTCGGAAGTATGTCACGGGACATCGCTCATCAGGGTTGTGCAAGTAAAGTTTTGCTGCACGCCCTTACTAGTTCTGCATACGCAGAGCAGACGAGTCGGGAGGTTAGTGCACTTGTTGAGCTGACCTCGTGCTTCGTAAAGTAATGTATCGAAGGTAAGAGGGCAGGGCACCATGTATTGTTGTCTAGCTAGAGGCCACATCATTGTATTAAACAGAAAGGGATATATGTGTCTCCCGAAAAGTTTTATTTGTTTTCTGGGTGGCGATTCCAGAATGATTGCAAGAAGCATGAATTAGGGCTGTGCAGGAGATAGGGTTAATTATTGTTTTCCTGTCTTGTCGCATGATTCAGTAGTGCACTTACGCTTACTTGTCACATTAATAGGGACTTACAGTAGGTCGCACACGAAAGCATGCAAGAGTTTTGCGTTGTTTGGGGGAGCTTGTGCCCGTCACTTTCAGGGCGGAATGAGCTCGTGCCCACTGGGCCCGCAATCCGCAGTTGACAATCTACGAGAAATACTTGATGTAATAATAGCTGCAATGGTTCCCAGTGGCTGTCTACAAAGAATTACGAATGCCTGTAACTGTGTTAATAGATTGATTCTGGGAAGCATGAAAATGAAAGCAACGCTATTGGCATGAGTGCAAGTTGATTGGCGATCACTCATAAAGGTAGAAGTTTTTTTTTTTACTGACGCTCGTATAAGAATTGCAGTTCTGTCGCTTTGGCAGCAGCAGTACCTTTGCGTAAGCACAAGGTTTTGCAATGTGTAGTACATCTTTTCAATTTTGTTATTGTATCCACTCAGAATATCTTGGAACAGATGGGCAACGGGCGCATTCAAGTTCCGTTTATTTTTTTTTGACGGCCCGAGCTATGTCGCGGCCTGGCTATGCATGTCTTGTCATTGAGCTCATTCGCACAAATTAAAACAGCCATGGCATGCTTACATGGGCCGATACCTCCGACTTCGCAAGTCTTCGCCTGGGTTTAAGGAATCTTTGCTACTGCGCAGCTGTACGCACAAACACATTTTAAACGCTACAGCATTCACATCTTCATTCGAATGGCTCGGACTTTTAAAAGCGAGCAAAACCACGAGGAAAAAGGGCACTTATCTTGAGGCAGATGTCTTGGGTGACGCTGCCTTGGACTTGCGGGATGCACTTCGCTGTCGACAAATGCTGTTGTGCCTGTATTATCTCCTCTAGTCCGGACGCCTGACATACGAGCAACCTTCCTTCGCAAAGGTTCGCCTCCCTAAAAAAAAGATACCGTTTCTCAACGGTACAAAAGTTGCAATAATATTACAACGCGCTTTGTGACGCTGCAGCACAACTGGACAGGCGAATGCCACACTAGGGCAGATTTGCGCCACAGTGCAGTGCCATAGGTATCGCTCCAAAGCGCCCCCTGGCACGGCTGAACGGTTCCATAGTGCTTCTTGGAAAAAGAATTGATTTGTTTCGGGTGTCGGCAGGGTTCTCCCCAGAAATGTTTTAGATGTGGACATCTGACGGTTTCCAGGAAGTTTGGGGGAGGAGGAAGGGGCGATTGCTGTTACTTTTGGAATTCTTAGCACTTCCTTGCCGTGCATCAGCGATCCCATTTGCGAGAATTAAGCGGTTCTTTTCCATAGTGCTATACTAGTCTGCCAAACACAACAATTTAGAGCAACATACATTCTCAAAATCAGCGTCATCTTGTCCAGCAGAGGCAAAATATAGAGGTGGCCTGGGCATAGAGATGGCCAGCCTGGTGAATGGTACTTCCACCCACTGTGGGGAGAACCACAGGTATCGGCGTTCCTTTCGGAAGCCGACAGGAGCCGCTCGTTCACCGACCGAGTGTCTGACGTGCCTCCACGCAGCGCACGTGCGCCCAGTGCCGGCTGGCCTTCTGCTCGACCTGCCTGGGCAGGACGGAGGAGCGCACCGGCCGGTGCCGCCGGTGCCGCGCCCTCTCGGCACGACCCCCGGACCGCCAAGCGCTGCTGGGGCTGAGGGTGCGGGACCTGTGTGCCCTGCTGCGAGCCCGCAACGTCTCCCTGCACGGCGTCACGGAGAAGACTGAGCTCGTGGACCTGCTTCTCGGCCAGGAGCCACCAACTGGCCGGGATCCGCTTCAGGGGCAAGATCCGCCTTTCGGGCAGGACCGGCCTCCTGGGCAGGACCGGAACACCCCGCCGCCGCCGGTGAGATTGCGTCTTGTTTGGAATAGGCGAGATTGCATTTTGTTCGGAATAGCCACCATATTTTCCGGGCAAGACGTGTTTTTGGTACTGAGCAAACTGCCTTGGTTGTGTTTATTTGTAGTCGCTGACGGAGTGAGAATGGCAGGACCCGTCTTTCGAATATCCAGCCTCCGGCATTCCGCCGTGCTTTGGCCGCTTCTGTGCTGGATGTGCGCCAGACGTTGCAGCTTTGTCAGAAATGGGAAGCTCACGCTGGAGGCGGGACAGCGGAACTGCTTCTTACTTTTCTCACTTTTTTAGTGACTATTGTAAAAGTTAAAATTTTACGTAGTGTGGACTGTCCATGGGTGCATACTATACAAGGTTTTGTATTTTCAAGATCACCCATTACTAGAGACGCGACAGATTTTCGTGAACTATAGATTAGGTCGACAATGATTTCTGAATGGTACAAGGTTTTCGGTGTGTTAAAGAGTCACTGACATATCAAAATCATATTTTTTTATTTTGATACGATTGATAATTATGTGGACATTACCCTCAAAATTCGAAACTTTGGAATGCAGTATTTGTGACGTAAAAAAACAATTTCCATATGCCAAATTTGAAGTTCACGCACGATTTGCGCCAGTGCGGTGACTTCAAATAGTGCAAAGTCCAGCGAGTCGACTTTGTTTCACGCCTCCGCTCCAAACTGCCGTTGGCCGTTGCCGGTGCAACCCGAAGTGAGGAGATGAGGAGCGGGAGAGAAAGGGCACCAGCTTACAGGGAAAGACCGGTTTGGTTTCTTCTGTGCGTGCCGTGCCGCCTGCCTATCGCTGCGAGCAGATGACGTTTGACGTCTGAAAGGCTGCCCCGGTGGAGTCGCATTCGAAACTACGACACACAGACACCAAACCCAGTTGTTTTGACCGTTTAACGATTTCCTCTTCCAAGTCTGAGAGGTCGTCAGGCACCTTAAAAAGACCACTTCGTCCGATTTCCCGACTCGCCGATCATCCTCTGCAATGTGCGTCGAGCACTGCCATGTGTTCCGAGGGAGGATACAAATCCAGGAGGCGACATCACACCAGACTCCGATTTTTGGCATTTGGCCGTTAAAAAATATGTTTTACGATTGCCGTTATTAAATGTTACAGCAATGTCGCCTACAAAGCTTTTAAATTTTATGATTTTTGACGAGACAAATCAGAAAGAGCGAGGAGGTGAGGAGCGGGAGAGAAAAACGACAAAAATAGCAAGGGGCGCGCGCGCTTGGGTAAATTTTGTTTTTGCAATGCGGTATTTGTTTGCGTGTTTATGACTACAACTTCCATTGTTTTAGACAAAAAAAATAAGACCTTTGGGATGTCAGTGTTCCTTTAAATGAAGAGAGAATTCTTTTAGGTGTGAGTGATGTGCTGTGTGTCGGCTATGCACCGGGAGCCGACTATCTGAGGAAAATCTTTTTTTTTTTGTCCTAAATTTGCCCCTGCAGTCAATAGACTGGGTGCGGAGAAAAACATGTTACTTCCACAAATCCGTTCATGCAACGCTGCGCATGCTGCATCCTGGGAACCAGTTGGTCGAGGAGCCCACGATGGACTTATCTAATGGAAGCTTTGCAGATTCTTTTTTTAGATAGATAATTAAAACACCCTGTGCACTGACTCATTCTTTGTTCTAATTCTTCTGAAAATACTAAAGCACATCTTCTAAAGAAAGAAGGAAGGCTTGATCTTGAAAAGGTTGGTCTGTCATTCAACTGGTTGACCTCCTATACAACTGCGGGCCTGGTGTTGCATTACTTCGCCCATTTATGTTATGACGGACAGAGACAATTGTGGTGGGCCATCTGCAAAGTAGAGGAACGAAGGGAAGGCTGCACCATATAATCAAGAAGGAGGAGTGCCATTTGGAAATACTTTGCAAGGGCAATGGCATTAATGGTGCTATGACCGGCATTTGATTCAACACTTCGTATACCGATAGGTACCACAACTCCCCTTGCAACCTATCTCATCCAGCATTGATGAAAGCATATTGAAAGATTACTGGGGTACACAAACAAAAAAAAACAACAAATGCTTACAGTCTTCGTGCACAATACCAAGCCCCTGTCAGAAAAGAGGACGGGAGGTATAATTAACCATGTGGCTGCTGACGTAGTACTTGATCTGCAACCTTGCAGCGTTGTGGGAGACCACGCTTTTAAAGAAGTTTTGACAGAAGTTATTCCTAACCTACTGTCTTGCTGTGCACTGCTGCACGTGTTTGTGCCGTGTATGTACAACGACACCCGAAAGAAGGTTTAAGGAGCTCACCAGGATTTATGACGATGGCACTAGTGCTGTTGCCTTCACAAACGACATGGGGGCATTGCATGCTAATATAAGTTATGTGAGCTTCTCCAGCCATCTTCTCACTCCAGATTTCCTGATGAAGCAGTTCACACTAAGAGGAGGCACAGGAGCAGTCATGCCATAGGACAGTGATTCTCAACCACTGATGTTTTGAAATCCCCTTCTTGTTCAGCGTTTAGATGATTACAATGACAAAAGGTAAATAAAAAGAAACTAAATGTGTGCAAACCAACTTTGGAGCTCTGAAACTGAGAATAATCAACCCTACTCTCTAGGCACAGATGATTTAGTTTTTTGGGCTTTGTAGAACAGCCTGCATCAATAAAAAAGGAAAGTTTAATTGCTCTTCTTCACTGACATTTGAGAGCTTTGTGGACCGGAGGAAGTCCTTTGGGGACCCCAGAGGGTTTGCGGAACCCCATTTGAGAACCAGTGCCGTAGTAGTGATAATCTGCTTCATTTTCATGTTCATCAGCTTCCCTTAGCCACCAAACCTCTTAGCCTCCTTCAAAGCATCCATGCCAGAGTACATATGGTTTGCAGCATGGTTGGTACAGTCCTCCTTTTCACTGCCTTATCGTAAAGATTGAGGCTTGCAATCTTTAAAAAAGCTATGCTGTCATCATCATGCAAGACTGGTATACTACATGACATGCCTCTCCACAGAGTACCTGAATATCGCAGCTCCAGCTTTCACTTCCATGGCATGAGCAGACCCATGAAGGTTGTTATGACACTTGGGACGATGGCTTTTCTACCATTCCTTGTGGCCTGGAAACCCTGGTTAAACCCTGGTTTTGGACCTTAAGTGCATAGCTGGTAGTAGTTACTTTGTGGACTTGAGTCAGTTACCAGCCCACTGTTCAGCTTGATTGCCACACCAACACCGAAGTGGGAGGTGTGGCCACATTTGTGTGACATCCCATCGTTCGAAACACGCACGTCTAGCAGTTGATCCTCACCACTAATCTGCCATACGTACAGACTGCACCCCACTCCTCATTACTTTGTAGACACCCTTCATAGCTGCTGTTGTAGATTACGGGAATTCAACTACCAGAAGAAGAAAGAGACGACAGGACAATGCACGAGACCACGAACGGCAGGATCGGGGCACGTAAGAATAAAACGGCCACCAACGAAACGGACGCGCTCGGGTTCTTTCCTCAACATAATTTGGTGCCGAAACCCCTTGAGAAGCCATGGACCGCCTCCGCAGAACCCGTGGCGTTGTCCGCTCCGCCGTCTCTCGCACTCTCGCCCAAATCGACGCTCTCCTGGAGAACCCGGATTCCACTGAAGTCCAACTGCGAATCCCACTTGAGTACCTCACGCAAAAGCAAGCCGCACTCAAAGACCTCGACAGCGACATCCTCGCGGCCATCACGGACGACGCCTTGGAGGACGAAGTGTAGGGTGCAGAAGAATACCGGCTACGCATCAGCACCTCTCTCACGCGTCTCCACTACACCCTAGACACTTTCGCCACCAACCCTCAACCTCGGCTCCCGGAGGCACCTCCCGTCAACCCTCCATCAACCGCAACAATAGTAAGGAGCCACCGGACCGTCGCCCTTCCAAAACTGCAAGTCCCCATGTTTGCCGGTAACCTCCGCGATTGGCAGGGATTTTGGGACCATTTTAATGTTACCATCCACGCAAACCCTGATCTCCCACCAATAGAAAAATTCAAATATCTCATGACGTATCTAACAGACCACGCTAAACGCGCCGTCGAGGGAATTCGACTCTCCGACCAAAACTACGAACTCGCAGTACGAACACTTCAGGACCGGTTTGGACGACGTGACATTCTAATCGACGATCACATTGATCAGCTTTTGAACTTACCTGTGATTAACACCTCCAGCGACGTGGCAAAACTTCGTCAGCTTCACGACGCAATACGTTTCCGCACAACATCACTTGAAGGGTTGGAGGTTCCACCTAGCAGCTACGCAGTCGTTCTTCATCGAGTTCTCATGCGCTGCCTTCCCGCTGACCTGGCTATCCTTTACCGTCAGAAGCTGAGAGAATCCACACCATCATCTTCAACGAGTACACCGGACCTGGCTCCAGAAGACCAAGTCAATATTATTATGAAGTTTTTGAGGATACAAGTCGAAATCAGAGAAGATGGCCAAATAGATCGCGCAAGTTACCATTTTCGACGAGGGCTATCGCCAACGACACATCAAGAATCAGTTTCGGCAAATCACCCTTCAACTCTCGCGCTATCGACGAAATCGGAAGGCTACCGATCAATTGCGTGCCCCTTCTGTGGTTCCCCGGAGCACGAACTCCAAAACTGCCAGGTCCCACTTTCAACACAAGATAAGCGAACCAAGCTTGCACGAGCGCGCTGTTGCTTTAAATGTGGGAAGCGAAATCACATCGCTCGTGTTTGCCGTTCAGGCAGAAGCTTGTCGTGTTCCACATGTGGGGGTCATCACTTCACCATCCTTTGTGAACTATCACGTCCCCTGCCAGCCCCATCGTACACTCCGCAACCTGAAGAGCCCCCTGAACACGCCACATCCATTGTTAGCGCGCCAGCTAGCAACTCCTGTTCTTCTCCTGTCCTCCTCCAAACAGCAAGAGCGTGGGCATCAGGGACACCAAGAAATGTTCTCGTAAGACTCTTGCTAGATACTGGCA